GGAGAAATATAAACTTTTGATGCATAACAAAGAATGGTTAGGTTTCAAAATCGACGCGAAGGGGACAATTCCATTAGTACACAAATCAGACGCAATCAGAAATCTAAAAGAACCACGTTGTATTAAAGACATAATATCGTTAATGGGATCAATTAACCAATTCGAAAAATTCATCCCGAATTTAGCATCACTCTCCGCACCATTTAGAGAACTTATGCGAAAGAACAAATTGGTCCAAGGTACATGTTGAGGCGTTCAAAAAATCTAGAAGGAAATCTGCAATACAGTGATAAATCACCACTTTGGCGTTAATTTTAATGCAAGAATAAAATGCGATGCATCACACTTAGGATTGGGCGCATCTGTCGAGCAAGACCATGGGGAAGTTTGGAAGACTATAGCGTTCATGAGTAGATTCCTTAATATAGCTGTACTAAAATACAGCACGAACGAACTTGAATTGTTGGGCTTAGTTTGGGCGTTAGACAATTTTAAAAACTACTTGTTGGGTAAGCAGTTTTCTATCTTAACCGACCATAAAGCCTTAACAGGGGCTTCAAAAGAGGATAAATAAACAAATACGGCTCAACCCCGCCTCACCCGTTGGGCGGATAAATTGCTACTATTTGATTTTTTTGTTGAGCATCTCACGGGTAAAGAAATTGGATTCGTGGACTATCTTTCTAGACACCCATCGGTTGAACCCGTACCAATCTCGTAAGATGACAAAAAATTCGTTATTGCTTCCGTCAACCAAATAAGCAATATTTTAGGCTTCGAACATCTGATGCCTAGATATTCTCGTCCGCAATTAAGGAACAAATTTTCGCAACAAATTTTCTCTCATGACCTCGTACACAGCAAGTGATTGGCCAATCGGCTAATTATATGTCAAGTCAAGAACTAGAACGTGAGAAACAAATTGCAAATGCTGCAGAAACTTTGCAATCTATAATTACACATTCCAAAATTTCAGTGGGTCAAAATTTACATTCGCGACCATCTTGTAAAACTATCGATTTTTCTACAAACTAAAAGACTTTAAAAGATATGTCTGATCAACTAGAAGTAACTGAACAACCTGAAAATTCAATTGTAAAAATTGTCCAAACCTTAAAACCCAGTACTAGTCGGGTACATCTTCTGAGAAGAACGGCACTAAAGAAAAAAAGTCTAGCCGATGAAACACAAATTGTTCCCGTTCTCAGGGCCTGAAATCTTTGATTCTAAATGTATGGCATTGCTATCAAAGCAAGACCTGGTACTAAAGAAAATTATAAAAGCAATCGGAGAAGACAGAAAACTTGACATAGCACAACTGGGAAACTATTACAAACCTAACATCAACAACTTGCACGTCAACGGAGGATGCCTTTACTTTGACGATAGACTGGTTATACCAGCATGCTTGAAGACGACGATGCTACACAGATTACATGAAGCTCACCCAGTCGAGTTTGCAATTGAAAGTCTGGCAACCCTCTTCATCTGGTGGCCGAAACTCTACAGAGAAATTAAAGTACATGGAGAAAATTATATCGAGTGTGTAAAAGCAGTTAAAAGTTTGAAGCCACTGACAAAACATGATAACCTTAGAAAACTCCCATCGGTCGTTGAAACAAATCAAGAAATGGAATTAGACTTTGCCGGCCCTCTACCAGTAACTTGGGGAACAAAAAAAGCACATTCTCGTATTCGTTGATCGATTTTCGAAATTCCCAACGGCACAAATAACATCAAGCACATCCGCCAAATCGGTAATAAACTTTCTTAGAAAAAAAATGACTTTGCACGGAACACCCAGCCAGAACTATTAAAACGCACCAATGGTCGGGATTTATCTCTAAGGAAGTTCGAGAATTTTGTCAAGAACACAGAATCAACGTCATATTCAATCCAATGGGTGACCATAGAGCTAGGGGCTTGGTCGAGCGTCTGATTAGAATAGATAAAGAACGACTTATGGTTATGGCGCAAGAAAATCTAAAACCTTCCTTAGTAATTGCATTACTAAAGATCATAAAATGCCTAAGAACTGTAACACAACAATCACTAAATTGCTCCCCTTTCGAAGCACACTTCGGTAAATCCCCAAACACGATTTGGCACAATTTAGTAAAACTTCCATCGTCAAGAAACCTGGATTGGTACAAAACATTGTAATGTATTGATAAAGGACAAAAACGAATGTGCCGGGACAGACGACGTGATTGTGATGCCCCTGATCCCATTGAAGACGGACACCTAGACAACAAATCATCCTCATCAGACGACACATCTAATGCAACTAGATATGTACCTACAAGCTCCGGTTCCCCTGTCAAAGTCCTCTCTCGCACAGAGAAAAGAAAAGCCCTAGGCGTGAAAAACCCCGTCTTGAGTAACTCGTCGGGTAAGAACCTTATCTACAGAAAAGAACAAGATAGAAAGAAGGACAAACCATACTATAAAGAACTTAAGGAAGAAATAATAAGTGAATCGGATCATAAAATTAAGCTTAAAAACGGGAAAGTAATTCGTAAACTTGATTTAGCCGTGAAAAAGCCCTCTGCGTTGAAAAAAAAAATAGCCTTCGCCAGAAGAATCAACTCATCAAGTTTCATGCCAAAAAAGTACCTAGGAAAGTTATGAAATCGTCAACAAAATTGGATTCAAGAGCTCTAAATCAACACAAAAGAAGAAAAACCTACTGGCAAAATTTGAAGAACTGGATATCGATAGGCGAAATGCGGCAATGAACAGCTCCAGAGAAACTCTGCTACGAGAGAAAGAGGAGGAAAAAATTATTTAAGGTACCCTATTGACGGAGAAAGCAATCAAGAAGTAAGACCGCCGGGTCAACCCATCCTTCCACAAAGAAAACATACACCCGACATATTATTGACGAACCCACCAAATGATACGATAACTGATGACAATGCCAGCGACCTTCTTCTACTTCAAGATCTGAAACCACTTGTTAGGAGTATTTTAGAAAATCGACAAGACCCGCCAGCGCAAGAACCAACAAACATCAAACAGGAAATTCTCCCGAAAAGAAGAATCAAACACAGAGAACGAGCAAAATGCTTGTCATACGCCGATTGATCTAGATTCAGGGGATAATTACTCAGACCAGCGCGCGATCGCACCACTTATCCAGTTGGACAGCCACGATGAATCTGATGAAAACTGATCAGAACTAACTACTGAAAGCAAAAAAACGTAGTCAACCAACCCAACAACTTCTCAGTCCACAGAGCGGCATACGAGTATAACGAAGATACCTAACTTCTTCTTCAACTTCTTCTACAAGACAACCGACCGTATTTAACCTTACGGAAGGTGGATCTGAACCTAAAGACAAAATACAGCCATTTCTATTGCTCTTATCAATCCTTTCTCCTAAGAAAATCCAATTTAGATCAGAAGTGCGGAAGATCGAATTTAATCTATCGGGCCTACCCTCCGAGCCTGCTGATGTTATTGAGACGCCTATTGTGATTAACCCTGACTGGCTTAATACAACTTCCATCATTGCAGCAATGGAGCTACTGGGTCGCCCTATGACTCTTGATGAACTCAGGAAATGGACAGAAATCAGAGCCTAAAGTCGTGACGCCGCATTTTTGCTTAACCATGAACTCTCTTTCCGGTCATAATCTCAAGTTTTTTTTTCTTAGGAATTTTCCTTTATCTTTCCTCTATTACGGCGCTATTTTTAGATCATTACCTAAAAGTACAATCCCAAAACTAGCTCACTTGAAAGGTGGTGCTTTACCTGTATTAACTTTAAGTTCAACATTAGCACTACTCTGGTTACTGTTAAATTTGTTTTGGGTTCGGTTAGTCGATTGACATTATCCTGAACCACTTGTGTGCTAGATACCACTTCCATCGGGCGACATCCTCGGGGGTTTTGTTCCGTTATTTTACCTCCTTGCCTTCACACAATATTTGTGGGTGAAAATTATATGTAAACTTCAATTAAGTTTTTGCGGGGAATGTCAAAAAGGATATCATTCGTTAGCGACCTTTTAACCTTTGTGTAGATCATTTACTTATTGTTAATTAGCCAAACACCTGCCAAAAGCGCAACGACGATCTGATATATTTGAAGTTGGAGTCACTAAGCGTTCTAAGTGCAACCAATCTTGTTATCAAAACTAATATTAATTCAGCCTTCTTAATCTTTCGTTTTTAGTTAGCGTAGTCTTATTAACCCCACGTCTTGTAATCTAGTCTTCGATAAAACTCTACTATTCGGTAGTAGAGATCCTCAACAAATCAAGTCTTAAACTAATCTTCGTTTAAGTTAACCAAGTCTAACCTAGTTATCTATCATCCAAATTTTTATTATGGCGCAGTCAAACGAGTCGAACCTACGAGGCCTAGAGTTTTTTCTGGAATAACGCATCAAACGAGAGTCAACATGACTGAGAAAAATGGTCAGAAACTTTTCAATTGACAACCATTGCTAAAGATTTGGTAGATATCGTAATTAACCCTCCGGCAAGACCCGAACTAATATAACCATCTAAGAAATAGTGGAATCTTCCGATTATCAGTCCCGTCGGGCCGAAATAGAAGAACGATAGAAACAAGCTCTACAAGTCTACAACGAAGAGGTTTGAAGGAGGAGAGCAGAAGACAACGCGAAGTTTAATGAACTTCAGATCGGTGATATCGACAAGAAGTTTAAGTCACAATTATACTCAGCACTCGGAAAAGGAGGGAAAAAGCTTCTCACACAAAATCCTCGGAAAAAAATACTTGAGATAAATTTCGCAAAATTTTGGGTTCTACTAAAACCAACGTTCACTGTAACTTTAAATCTGACCTACGAGAGATACTAATTTTTTGGCCGAAGACAAAAAGATCACGAGTCACTAGAAAAACTCCGCGAAACTCTCGCAGAACTGGCAAAAATTGTAAACTTGGCGAATTTGAGGCAGAATTAGTCAGGGACATTTTCATCACAAAATGTCGAGATTTGATTTCATCGTGTTTTTTTTGTGCAGGTGCTGCTGCTTCGGATGAGCACAGCCACATGAATATAATCATAGTAGCCATCGCAGTCATCTGTGCAGTCATGATCGCCCTCATCTTGCTCTTCATCATGAGGAGGGTCATCGTCCATAGACAGGACACCAAGCACCAGAGGTCAAAGGGCGCCGCCAGACTCATGCTCAACCCAGAAGAGGTCAGAGAGAAAAGAGCCCTTAAACTGTTTGCCAAAGGGTTTCATTCGACTCGAAAAGCGAGCGAAGGAATATTTTTGGCAGACACAAAAAGATTGCTTTTTAAAGTGGAGCAAATAAAAAATGGAGCATGCTGTGAATTACAGGCAGTTTTTTTATTTTCAACAGTTTTTTTAAAATAAACTTTAGCTTAAATGACATCCATGAAACTGTTCTAGGTCATTTTCCACCGTGATCCAATCACAGGTGTTCCACAAGCTTATTGCACTATTGGTCCAAGACGGAACCTAGAGGGAAGCACTAGTATGGGGGTCAACTTGGGCTCGCCTTCCAGTTGCAGTGAAAAAGACCAGCAGCCGATGCGGGTTGCACTGCCACCCGAGATGAACTTCCGGGGATACTCCACAGTGCCTCACAAAAATTCATATGGGGATAACCTTAAGGTAGGTTTTTACAAAGAAAAAAAAACAGAAATTTTTTGATCAGAACAGTTTATAATTTTCGCGCATACAGAAATAGTGAAAAACTTAAGATACTGCCATGAAATCAGAATAATATACAGAAAGGTGAAGCGGAGCTTCGCAACACTTGCTACACAACACAAACATAAAAATCAAAGGAAGTCGAAAAAATGAAGAAAAAAAACAAGGTAACCAAAAACTTCTTATGTCTTGATAAAAGAATAGGGGCGTAGCTACAGCTGGAAATACCTAAAAGAAATGTTTTTTTTCTTTACTGATGCGGAATTGAATGGGTAGTTTCAAAATTTCAAAAACTGGACTTTGCCCAAACTTAGTTGTTTCTCTACTTAAATAATTTTGGAGATTTCCCAAGGACAACACTTTTGTTACAAAAAAATACCGAGATTTGAGAGGGTAGTTTTTGAGGAAGTTCAAGTAATTTCCAAATAACGACTTTTTCGAGGGCCATAATTTTTGGTGTAAAAACATGAGTGTATTCGGTTATGCAGGCAAAGTTTCCACAATTAGTTATTTTGATTGAAGATAAAATTAAATAAAAGCTTAAATCCCATATATTTTCATAATAGCTGTTTCTATCAAAGAAAAGTTTCAAATTAAAATGCCAAGAAAGAAATTTAAATTTTAAGTTAGGAGCAAAAATACAAAACGAAAACAAAGCCGTCCGTCCTTGCGCAGAAATCAGTTGAGCCACAAATTTTTTTTTTTAAATTGAACATGAAAAAGCTTTAAATCCCACCTGAAATCAAAACGCACAATACATGCAACCACGTTAAGTGCCTAAAGCACAACAAAAATCCGTACAGCATAAGCCAGCAAAAGCTGAGCAGACAAACAAAATTCCTTTAATTCTATAATTCATTTCTCACCGGAAAAAAATTCAAATTTATTCATGCTGAAAAAAACAAGGTCATGCCGTGACTCGAGCCGCAGACCATAGGGTGCAAAATAAACCACTTTACATTTATAACAAGTGGAAAGAAGCTGCAACTTTTTACACAGAGGCGAAGCGTAGTTTCGCACCACATGCGATACAACAGAATAAAACAAAAACAAGTAACAAAAAAGTTATCGTGTTGTATCGCATGTGGTGCGAAACAACGCTTTGCCTCTGTGTAAAAAGTTGCAGCTTCCAATTGCAGCTTCCGAACCAAAATTTTCGTATGTATTGATGAAGTTAACCTAGAACCCTGCCAAAGCTGCCGGTATGTGTTTGATCTTTTTGAATTTGTAATACTGATGCAGGACGATATGCGTGATTTCAAAAATTGGACTTTGCCCAAAACCTTAGTTGTTTGTCTACTAAAACAAGTAGGAGGAGCGAAAATTGTTTAGACTTTAGATTTTTCCGAAAGACATGACGTTATCCTGACGAAAAAATTAAGGAGTAGCTGGTTCGGCAGGAAGAATTCGCGCAACTGCTTCCTTTGATTGAATTTTTCATTTCAGATTTGATAGAGTAGATCAAAAATTTTTATCGTTTTCACCTATTTTAATGAACCTATAAAACCAATACAGGTAAAAGAGAAACGCATAGTGATCCATCTACTCCCCTAATTGACATTATGCATCGATCAATTACGTAGAGACGGGCATATCGAAAAACTGTCCAGATGTTCGGAAGATTGCTTTATCTCCCCTATCGTCATCACAGCAAAAAGAGACGGGTAAATCAAACTGGCCTTAAACTCAAAACTGCTTAACAAACAGATATTTCGTAACAGATACCGATTGCCTAATCTGTTTGAATTAATCGATAACGTCGCGGTAACAATTAGTAGATATAACGAAAACAAAAATTGGTTCCCATCTATTGACCTAAAACATGAATACAGCCAGATACCATTATCTAAAAAGCAAAAAACCAATGCAATTTTAATATCGTGGTAGGACACGTCACAGGATCATATCGCTTCAAAACTGGATTTTACGGACTAAGTGATATGCCTAATGAATTTCAACGAATCATGGACCGTTTAACGAAAAAGTTACTTAATACACATTTTTATTTAGATGACGTTTTAATTGCTACCGTAGGCAGAGCTGAAGAGAATCGCAAATTAGTTATTAACTCTTTAAAAACGTTTAACGACGAAGGTTAAGCCAAAACATGGGAGAAACGTAAATTTTTGACGTGACGTATAATATAGAATACTAGGATTCAAACTCGACGCGAAGGGGACAACTCCATTAGTACACAAATTTGACGCAATCAGAAGTCTAAAAGAACCACGTTGTTTTAAAGACATAAGATCGTTAATGGGATCATTTAACTAATTCGATAAATTCATTCCGAATTTAGCATCACTATCCGCATCATTTAGAGAACTAATGCAAAATAACAAACATCTGCAATAGAGTGATAAATCACCACTTTGACGTTAATCTTAATAGAAGAATAAAATGCGATGCATCACACTTACGATTGGGCGCATCTGTTGAGCAATATCATGGGGGAATTTGGAAGACTATAGCGTTCATGAGTAGATTCCTTAATATAGCTGAACTAAAATAAAGCACGAACGAACTTGAATTGTTGGGCTTAGTTTGGGCGTTAGACTATTTTAAAAACTTCTTGTTGGGTAAGCAGTTCTCTATCTTAACCAATCATAAAGCCTTAATAGGGGCTCTAAAAATAAATACACGATAAATACACAAAGACGGCTCAATCCCGCCTCACCCGTTGGGCGGGTTAATTGCTACCATTTGATTTTACTGTTGAGCATCTCCCGGTTAAGGAAATCGGATTCGTGGATTATCTTTCTAGACACCCATCGGGTTATCCCGTACCAGTCTCGTACGATGGCGAAAAAATCATAATAATAATCAACCAGATAAGCAATCTTTTAGGCTTCGAACATTTGATGCCTAGATATTCTAGTCCGCAATTGAGGAACAAATTTTTGCCACAGAACAGTTTATAATTTTCGCGCATACAGAAATAGTGAAAAACTTAAGATACTGCCATGAAATCAAAATAATATTCAGAAAGGTGAAGCAAAGCTTCGCAACACTTGCTACACAACACAAACATAAAAATCAAAGGAAGTCGAAAAAATGAAGAAAAAAAACAAGGTAACCAAAAACTTCTTATGTCTTGATAAAAGAATAGGGGCGTAGCTACAGCTGGAAATACCTAAAAGAAATGTTTTTTTTCTTTACTGATGCGGAATTGAATGGGTAGTTTCAAAATTTCAAAAACTGGACTTTGCCCAAACTTAGTTGTTTCTCTACTTAAATAATTTTGGAGATTTCCCAAGGACAACACTTTTGTTACAAAAAAATACCGAGATTTGAGAGGGTAGTTTTTGAGGAAGTTCAAGTAATTTCCAAATAACGACTTTTTCGAGGGCCATAATTTTTGGTGTAAAAACATGAGTGTATTCGGTTATGCAGGCAAAGTTTCCACAATTAGTTATTTTGATTGAAGATAAAATTAAATAAAAGCTTAAATCCCATATATTTTCATAATAGCTGTTTCTATCAAAGAATAGTTTCAAATTAAAATGCCAAGAAAGAAATTTAAATTTTAATTAGGAGCAAAAATACAAAACGAAAACAAAGCCGTCCGTTCTTGCGCAGAAATCAGTTGAGCCACAAATTTTTTTTTTTAAATTGAACCTTAAAAAGCTTTAAATCCCACCTGAAATCAAAACGAACAATACATGCAACCACGTTAAGTGCCTAAACCACAACAAAAATCCGTACAGCATAAGCCAGCAAAAGCTGAGTAGACAAACAAAATTCCTTTAATTCTATAATTCCATAGGGTGCAAAATAGGGTGCAAAATAAACCACTTTACATTTATAACAAGTGGAAAGAAGCTGCAACTTTTTACACAGAGGCGAAGCGTAGTTTCGCACCACATGCGATACAACAGAATAAAACAAAAACAAGTAACAAAAACGTTATCGTGTTGTATCGCATGTGGTGCGAAACAACGCTTCACCCCTGTGTAAAAAGTTGCAGCTTCCAATTGCAGCTTCCGAACCAAAATTTTCGTATGTATTGATGAAGTTAACTTAGAGCCCTGCTAAAGCTGCCGGTATGTATTTGATCTTTTTTGAATTTTTTATACTGATGCAGGACGATATGCGTGATTTCAAAAATTGGACTTTGCCCAAAACCTTAGTTGTTTGTCTACTAAAACAAGTAGGAGGAGTGAAAATTGTTTAGACTTTAGATTTTCCCGAAAGACATGACATGTTCCTGACAAAAAATTAAGGAGTAGCCGGTTCGGCAGGACGAATTCGCGCAACTGCTTCCTTTGATTGAATTTTTTATTTCAGATTTGATAGAGTAGATTTTTAAAAAATCGGAAGTTAAATTTTTAACCCATTAAAAGAGAAGATTATGAAAATTGGGCTTCTCGATTGCACGCTTAACTCGGGAATTGGCACAATAATTTTCGAGTAAAGTGAAAAATTTCAAAAAAAAAATGGGCAAAGTTCATAATTTTCACTTGTTTTAGGGCCATATTTTTTTTCTAAATGAAACTAGGCATAGCAAAAATTAAACCTGTTTTGTCGATTAAACCTATGATATTAGTTTTGGCAGGATAGTTATCGAAAAAAAATTCACAAACGGTCAACAAGTCAGATAGTTGAAGTTTCCGCGAGTAGTAGTTTTTTTTTGCTTGGAACAAAACAAGGCTTAGCCGCTGATGCAGAAGAAATTCACCTAACCTGCAATTTCGATTGAAGCAAAAACCCAAGTTTGGCAGAATAGTTCTCTAGAAAAAACAAAGCTTCAGAAAACGGTCAAAATCCAAAACTTTTTCCGGGGCCATAATCTTTGTACACAGAGGCAAAGCTGAACTTACAATGCAACACTCAAAAATAAAGGTTAAAAAAACTTCGAAAAAGTCGAAAAAATTTGAAAAAAATTATCAAAAAACCTAAGAAAAGTAACAACACAGATCTAATCTAGAAGCCAAAAACATATTAATACAATAGAATGTAATAATTACCATCGGAAAACTTGACAAGCCGTAAAAAAACACTGAGCAGAAGCCCTTAAAACCGAAAAAAAATTGAAAACAATTCGGTAAAAAAGGTCACAATTTTTAAGGAAAATTGTTGAACTCACTCCCCTCAAAAAGCATACACACACACAAAAATAAATTATCGCTCATCAAACGATGCAATGTGGGACCGCTAGGCGATAAGATAGTTGCCGATACCTTTTTAACAGAGAAAAAAGAACAAGAAAAACAAACAAAAAAGAATTGTTAACAAACTGAGTTGATAAAATTACAACAAACATAAAAAAAAACAAATTTCGAATAGGCCATATATATTTGAAATGCTAACATGCTAAAAATGTATCTGTTGCAACCGAAAGACCTAGTGGGTGAATGAGTTCAGAGTCCAGGAGATGAATCCTGTACGTTAATCTTTTTACGGAAAAAAGTCCAGTACCCGATTGCAACACCCTTGCTATCGCAAGGGTAAAACGTCAATATTGAAGCAAGTGCAATTTCTTATGAGAAAAGTTGCTTACGGGGAAAAGTTCTAGCACCTGATAACAAGAATTTTGCTCTCATGTCCCCGATAACAAGACACTTGCTCTCGTAAATGTAAAAATTGAGCAGGACACATAAAAATCAACGGTTTCCTTACAAAAGGGTGGAGAATTGCAAAACTTAGAATGCTGTTAAGCAATGTTCAACTGATACAAAAACATTAAAACTTGATTTTTTTACCAATAATATTATATTCTAGGGTCCTGGCCAACGAGTCGAGTTGCCATATATGGTACCTGTCGTCTCTCGAAACCCATTCCAGCATACAGTTCCAAACGATTACTCACTCGACAATCCTCCGCCGTCGGCGAACCTTCCGTCGAGCAGTCACTACAACCCATTTACCAACGAACCCATAAACGATGCTCGAGCAAGTTACGATAGCGGAACATACGAGACCATAAGAGACGAGAACCTATACGAAGAAATGAACTACGCCTCGCTATACGAAACCGCGGAGCCTAAACCAGGCTCGGTCAAGTTTTCAACTTTACTGCATAGACCAACGGAGCCTAGCGTGGCCACGCTGTCGCGAGATACATACGGGAACAGTAATAATACGAATGCAAGCAGGATGTTGTCGTTTATGCCGAGGAGTGAGAGTAGTCATTCGGAGCACTACAGGTCTCCGTCCGATACATATGGTGCTCAAATGGAACTATATGGCAGCCAAAATTCAGAAACATATTCTTGAAGACAAGTTAATTCAACACTTTAGTATTAGTGAAGCTATTGTAATTGTCACTTTGTGATTTTAATGTTAACTCACTTTCAAATCAAATATATTTTTGTGACTTATTAGTGCTAATTTTCACCAAGTATGACCATGGTGAACAGTCAAAATCTAAATTTTTCTGCATCGTACGAAAATGGTGCCATTTTAAAAAACGAAAAATATTCTGCCGGCTCCTGTTCAATTTTTCTATAGAACTCAATTTTGGGAAAAGAATTCATTTTTCCTTTTTTGTTCAATTTTTTATGTAAGAGATAAGCTAAATTAAACCTGAAAACTTTTATATGCCATTATTATTTTTTTGAGACTTAATTTTTTTCTCCCTACACACAAAAACTCAAGAAAAAAGAAAAAAACTGAATTTTTTCCCCCAAAATTGAGTTAACTACATGTGACTACATTGCTTCAATATTCATCGTGAAAATTCGATTTTTTTTCGTTCTGCTTCAGTAAGTTCTCTTCTTTTAATTAAAACTTCAATAATAGCTTCATAGCTTCAATAATAACTCCAAATTTTAAAACCAGTTGTTCTCGACACTGATAAAATTTTGAACATTTTCAAACGTCGATCCACTTAAGACTGAAAGGGCTTTAATGTGATACAACACTCAACCCATTGTGCGTGAAAAAAAAATTAAAACGCCTAAATACAAAGTTTTTCCCAACTATCAGTCATCAAAACAAAAAAATTGAAAAGGAATAAAGTTTAGTATATTTTAAAAACTTGGTGCTACTTTTGCAAAAACAAAATTTTAAGGAAAAAAAAAGAACCGATTGCTGTGCAAAAAAGCTCAGAATTTTTCCTATTGGCAAAAACTACGAAACTACCTGCACTGACAAGTCTCGATGCAGATTTGTTGTGGTGTCAAAACCTATTTCGGCAAATTAAGATGGATTTGGAGTACCTTTAAAAAGAATTAAATTAATCTTATTTCGAAGTTTAAACATCAATCTAACGCTATTTAAAATCTTTTGGTTTTTGAATTCAATGATAAAATCCGTAATCCCATTTGAACACAATCAAATTGATTTTCAATCATCAATTTTGTATTAATCATTTTTTTGATTATATACAAGCTTTTTTTATTTGTTCGACTTATAATTGATATGAGTTTACAGAAAGTAAATTTATAAACAGGGCTGTTCAGTTGATTTTTCATGCTGATGTTTAATCTGAAAAAAGTGAGAAAACAGACAATTTTAGTGCGATTTTTTTGTACTGAAATTATTTTCTCCTAATTGAGATTTTTAAATCGCATCAACAAATTACACTACAAATGTAGACCTTAAAAATTACATATGGAGAAAATGTGCTTTTTTTACTTTTATTTTTGCGGAAACCGTATGTTCGCAAAATGCTAACAAGGATCGCCGGTTGCATTGCAAGTAGCACAGAGTGATCCAAACATACTCTTTAAAATAAATCGTTGCTTTTTTGTGCGTTGCGTGATAAAAAGATGAAATGAAAATCTTAAAAAAAGTCATATTCGGCAGCCACAGTAAAATAGGCAGATCGGGAACGATTTTAGTTAAAAAAGCAAGAACAAAATTCAAAAAAATTCTTAATTTTTTTTACAGAATTTTTTGCAAATACATGGTGAAAAAACTTCCAAAATTTATTTTACTGGAGCTAAACCGAAAATTCATCGTTCACTTTTCTTTACAAAAATAAGCCTGTTCGCTTGGTTTTTTTTCGCTCAAAATTAGATCGAATTTCAAAAACTTCAAGCCGGTTTTTCTCAACTTAGGACAATTTTTGATTTTTGTATTGTCGCATGAATCAGTGCTGAAAAGGCTTTCTTATGGCTTATTACTCCGCCAATTACAAAAATTTCTTCTGGTAAATGCTTTTGGTTGCAAATCTAGATGAGCCGGCTTGCTCGTTTTACTCGCTCGAAAACAGACAAAAATCAAACTTTTTAAACCGGTTTTTATCGACACTCGGAAATTTTGGAAAATTAAGATTGTTCGACTTACGAATGAAACGGCTTGATTAAGATATCTCACTCAACCCAGTCTGCTGATTATTTGTGGTACCTGATTTTGGGTGGAAAAGAAAATAAAGAAGAAAAAAGAATAAACACCCGAATACAAAGTTCCTCCTCATTTTCAATGGTCGGAACAAAAAAGATCCCCCAGAAACTACTATTTTAGCATTTGATAAGTTTATTCAGGAACAAAAATGATGCTCAAATTTTTGATCACAAGTAATAGTTATCAAGGATAGCTGGTTGCTAAGCAAGTAGCACAAAATGTTCTGACCAGTCTTTTAAAAAAAACTACAAAAAAATTATTAGTTTTTTTTCTTCAAATTAATGCAGTTTTTTCTGCGTCGTGTGGTAGAAAGACCTGACGTAACAGTATAATTTAGCCATAATTGACAGCCGTAGTCATATAGGCAATGTAGACAAAAAATTTGTAGAAAAATATTTAAGGAAATATAAAATAAAAAAAAAATTTAAAACTTTTTTTTAAAAAAACTTTTGAAGTTTTTGATTCATAAAATTGAGCTAAAACACTCCAAAACTTCAAGAAAAACTAGTTTCACTTGATTAAAACTAAGTTTTATGGCTTAAATTAGGCATAACTGAGCTGTTGTAGGCCCGCACACGTGCTTTATTCGCTCGAATTAAGACGAAACATCAAATTTCAAACCAGTCTTTCTTGACACTGGGAAACTTTATTGGAAATTTTTTAATGTCGATTGAATCACGACTAAAAATGCTTGAATTTGAAATATCACGCAGCACTCCCCGATAATTTTTTATGGTAGCTGAATTTGCATGAAAAAAAAAACTAAAATTTACACGAACACAAAATTCCTCCTCATTTTTCAAATAGCCGGAACAATTAGGCTCAAAAACTTTTTAAAGCTACAAAGCGGAAAAAAATTACAGCGCAAAAAAAAATCAATTCAAACTAATTTCGTGGATACTCCGATCAATTTTAATGAGCATCAAAGTCACTTTTAGGCCCTAAATTGGTTCCCAAATTTTCAAAATAGAACTATTCAAATTGATTTAAAACCATTTCGAAAAGCAAAGTGTTTTTGCTGAATCGGTTTTAATGGATCGAAATTCGATGTAATATGGACTTATATGGATTTAAAATAAACTCAAAAACCTACAAACCCATGATAACTGTTTTTTTTGAGAACCCATGGTAGCCTACAAACTCCGCGAATGACTACTGAAGGCTTAAATGTCGACACTCCATATTTTTAGTCGCATTACTTACAGTGGAGAGGGAATCACTTCATGATGTTTTTTCTGTTGTTATTTCTATATGAGAAAAAAAGCGAAAAAAAACTCTCAAAATTTTTAACAATAGTCGAACACAAGCATGCCCAAAAATTTTGTAGAACAGGAAACGTTAATTAGAACAAAAAACAGACACGGGAAGTGGCCCGTATTGAACTTCATTTGGAAGGTAGGAATGGGCATTCAAATTCCAGTTTTTTCACAGATATGTCACAGATCAGATGTATGTCTGTTTTTTCGGTGCACATTCAAAATTCAGATACGCGGCATGTGTTCTAACTGATTTCAAACAGAGCTGGTCAGACATGCCACACCATACATGCGGCACCCACGTGCCTTGACTCGGTCAGACATAAAAGCCAGGCATCACAAAAAACCAGGCAAAGTTATATTTGAATTTAAACTCTCAAAAAAATGTCGCTTTGGAGCTTAGACAAAACGCTTCGAGAAAAACATGTGAATTTTTCTGAATTCAAGTCTTCAAATGAAAATATATAAAAGCAGACAACAGCATTGTTCAAAATTGACACAAAATAATGTCTAAGGTTCGGAAAATTTTTTTGAGTTTTCAGCTTCTTCAGAGTACGTATCTGGATTCAAAAGTTTCGCATATCTGGATTCTTGCTGCCAGCCATTTTTCTTAAACAACAATGGTAAAATCAGTGCTTAAAGCAACCCCTTATTTTCTCACATTGCATTTACGGTGATCTAACACAGTGAGTTTTCACGAAAAGCGTGGGTAAGTGGAAGTGAAAGGGGTGCAAAAAATAACCCTTTTAATGAAAGAAACTAGATAAAGGAGCAAAGAGGATAAGAAAAAAAGGTTGACGAGTGGAACAGCTTGGTTAAGAGGGAGGGGGTTTGATTGTTTGCTACCTTTTGAACAAGGAAAGTAAACTTTTCCTTTTGAGACTTTTGTAAGCATCTGAAATTTCATTTGATTTTCGCTCGAAGGTGAAAGGCAAAATCTAATGCGCCAGTTTGAAACAACTTATTCGTTTTATTCTCAATACCAGGATATTTCTACACGAACCTAGTAAAATCGGATCTTCAAACAACTCTGTGGTCTAAGGTATAATAACTGAATTATTGAAGCTTAGTATGAAAAATAGTTTTTGTTCCGATCATTGAAAATTTTTTGTTCGGGTGTGTTTTAGTTTTTTTGTTCCGACCATTGAAAAAGGGGAGGAACTTTGTATTAGGGTGTGTTTTAGTTTTTTTTCAGATGCTACAAAAATCAGGTGCCAGAAATAATGATCGGATTGGGTTGAGTGATATATCATATTAAAGCCCTTTCAATCGTGTCCAGAAAATCCGGTTTGAAATTTTTGATTCTTGGTCTAATTTTGAGATAATCAGGTGACCTGACCTGACCGTATATGCTTTTAGTAGCTTATTTAAGCTTAATTTAAGCCGTAACAACTTAGTTTCATTCAAGTAAAAGTAGTTTATGGAGTTTTTCAGCGCAATTTTGGGAATCAAAAACTTGAAAAATCAAACAAAATTTTGTAAAAAAAACCTTTTACTTGTCATTTTTTGTCAAAAATGTTTCACAAATGACCTATTTTACTATGACTCTTAAGTAGGGGGGGCGGATTTTCGAGGGGGGGCGGATTTTGAAAAAGAAATCGAAAATTTTCTTTTTTTTAGGTCAACCAAATTGATTTTTTGAGCTCTCCCAAAGCACTGTTTTGCCCCTATTTTGGCAAAATTTTCTGCGCCGGAGACAAATTTTAGAAAAAAAAACAGTCAAAAAAGGCGTTTTTTGGCACTTTTGGAAAGTTTTGACCAAAAAATTTGCGTTT